AGCAGTTTTTTTGGTCTTCTTTAGGTTCCGCTTGACAATAGCCCAGTATTTCTCAATTGGGCGGAGCTCTGGCGTGTTGGGAGGGTTCTTGTCCTTGGGAACCACCTGCACGTTGTTGGCGGCGTACCACTCCATGGCCTTTTTACCGTAATGGCAAGATGCCAAATCCGGCCAAAACAGTACGGAACAACCGTGTTTCTTCAGGAAAGGCAGCAGACGTTTATTCAAACACTCTTTCACGTAAATTTCTTGGTTGACAGTCCCGGAAGCTATGAAAATGCTGCTTTTCAAGCCACAGGTACAGATGGCTTGCCAAACCAGATATTTCTTTGCGAACTTTGACAGTTTCATGTGCTTGAAAACATCTGCTACCTTTCCCCTTTCTTTTGCCGTATAAAACTCCTGTCCCGGAAGCTGCTTGTAGTCGGCTTTGACGTAGGTTTCGTCGTCCATTACCACGCAGTCAAACTTCGTCAGCATCGTCGTGTACAGCCTCCGGGATCGCGCTTTGGCCGTCGTATTTTGTTTATCATCGCGATTTGGAGTCACTACCTTCTTGTAAGTCGACAGTCCGGCTCGTTTTTTGGCTCGATGCACGGTTGTAGACGATACACCCAGCTTATTTGCGGCATCTCGGAGAGAGAGGTTAGGGTTTCGCTTGAAACTACCGGCAACTCTCTTTGTCGTCTCAGCGGCTTCCGGTTTTCGATTTCCCCCCGATCCAGACTTCCTGGCTGTCGACAAACGTTCCCCAAACACTTTAATTACATTTGTAACGGTTGATTTGGCAACTTTTAGCGATTTTGCCAACTTTGCGTGCGAGTAGCTCGGATTTTCGCGATGCGCGAGCAAAATTTTGATACGCTGCTCTTCTTGCTTGGACGGCATTTTGACAACTGAAGAGTGAATTTCAAAATCTAAATAGGAGCAACATTCTACACACACACACCTTCAAAATGAGGGGTGTTCAGGTTTTTTTTAATGCAAAATTGAAAGAAATACGTCAAGTTGATATTGACCAAATTTTGACCGTATCACCCTTTAGTGTTCTGGATGCACTTCCACAGTTATCAATTGACAGATTTCGATGCCTGTACCATTTTTGCATTGGTACAATTGTGTGGCAAGTACACTCATACTCTCCCAGGGAAGTCGAGAAATTTTCCAACCCGAAAAATTCCTAGACCGGACCGGGAATCGAACCCAGCCACCTCCAGCATGGTCTTGCTTTGTAGCTGTGCCTTTACCGACTAAGCTAAGGGAGGCTCGCCACACACTGAATAAATAAGCATTATTGTACTTAAAAAGTGCGTTTATGTGTTTTTGTATTAATTTTATTTATTGTTCCTACACACAGAGTTTAGATTACCGAAGTCGTTTAAATTTTACTGTGTTTTTAAACAGCTGCGTTTTCAGCAATCAACTCAGTAGTTTTTGGAAAATTTAAAATCCCTAAAATGTCAAAATTTACCGTTTTAGTCAGTAAAAGAATTGCTGACTTTTTCAATAATTTATTTGTTTACATTATGTTTGCTGAGTTTTTCAACATTTTTAAGGAATAAATATCAATGAGCAATAAATAAAATATTTCGGATGTTTTACGATTTTTATTAGGGGACTCAGGTTTATTTGTTTAGAGGCATAATAGCAATGATGCTGTTTAAACTAATCTTAAGCTTAAACGCTTAATACTTCCTCGTGGTTCAGCCGGCTGGTTGCTTTATTGGACTGCCAGATTGCGTGCCTAAGTCTTGAGCACTGCTACACACAATTGAAATTTTTGCTGCAAATTCAATGGAATATCTGGAAGTCGATACAGGAGTGCAGGAACTGCCCGATTTCGTGAATGATTCTGCACTCCTGCGTTGACTTCCAGTCGTTTAACTAATTTTCACAAACATGTTGCTGTTTTCACAAACAAATTTCTGAAGTCAAATGCGCGAGGTGGAACGGAGGAGAATTACGTAAAGGAATCCAATTTACTAGTGTGATCAGTAATTTTGGAATTTCGTTTGATGACTGTTTCAGTAAAACATAATCAGTACTGTAAACACCGACATGATTGATCATACAAATTACGAAGACATTCCTGATCAAAGCACAAAACTGACATCTGCCGCCGTTTTCGCGGAAAATATTTATCCTAGCCACGAACACGCGTATAAAATTTATGAGTTGGTTCGTGTCTAATCTATTTCGGACAAATTATTTATTACTAGATAAAACATTTCTGTGGTTTTGACAGATAGATCCTCTGCACATTTGAATCGGCCGTTATGGATTCTCCATCAAGAGTTAAGTTTATGTTTCATGTCGGTTTGTCGGTGCTGAAAACTCGAGTTTTAGTCATTACCGCATTCAGTAGTTTCTTGCAAAAACTAATGAACGTCAGTAATTTTAGCTGAATGTTCGGTAGTTTTTGTGATTTACAGTTCGAGAACTGTAAAAAAATACCGAACAAGTAAACCGTGATTAAGTGCGTGAGTTTACATTCAAATTTACCTCATATATTTTTTATTCGACGATCAATATTTCTGCGTGAATCATCACATTCGAGGCGTTGACATGGACATGGCAGACGGGCTTATTGGTCGCTATCACATTCGGGTCAAAACAAAAAAGTATACACAGAAATTCAAAACAACCCAAAATTAAGTTCTTTTCACTCATCTCCCATGTTCCGTACGATAAGCCAAATTTGGGTAAACCGGCTCAAAGTAGTTTGCATTTAAGCACGGCAAAAAAAAATACCCATCGCTAAGTTATTTTCAATTTTTTCTACCCAAAATTAAGTTCAATAAACTCAAATTTGGGTATATCGCATATTACTCAATTTTGGCTTCTTGTACGGAACTAGACGGTTGAGTCGAATCTTTCGTTCTATTTTTGACAACAATGGCGAGAGGAAATGAAACGGACAGAGGTCAAATAACTCAAATTTGAGTTTAAAAAACCCAAGCGGTGGGTAGTTTTGTTTTTCTGTGTACAAGCCGTTTGCTGTATCATCTCTTAGATTTGTCTATGGTCAACTCATACATTTTGTTTAAACGTGTGCACAAGACATACCCATCCTCAGCGGCGCCGGTGGTGTAGTTATAAGCGTGATTGCCTCTCACCCCTGATCTCTCTGGTCCCCGGTTCATGAGTTGATGGGGAGGGAGGGTCCAGGAGTGGGAGCTGCCTCCCTGGCATCGGTGCTCAGCACGGAAAACAAGATCGACGGAAAACAAATCAAGAAAAAAAAAGACCCATCCTCAGCATGTTATTCAGCTACCTAATTTTCGAGCAGAAGTTGCGAAAACCACGAGCACCTATAAAGCTCCAATCTCAAGGCCGCAGGGCGTCCATGTATGATCGCTACAAAAAAAGCATCCATTTTGAAGCAAACGTGTCTTCCATCCTCTGATATCAGATATGATTTAATGGGTCACTTCCCCGAATGTCGACCCCGTTCCGAAAAGAGAACCTGCAAAAATCCGCGATGCAAATAAGAAACATAAATGAAATGTCTCAAATGCAACATACATCTGTTCCTACAGGTAAATCATAACTGTTTCTATACCTTCCATCACAATGAATAACAACTCCGCCTTTAGGTGGTCTATTAATTTTGATGTACAAATAGTTTACTTGTACCTATTTTGAACTGTAAATATATTTTTCGTTTTTATCATCATAAAAAGAACCTAGAATAGTTTTTTCAAGTAAAAGTTTTTTTGATTTTTGTTTCGCCCAGATGTTTATTGCAATTCGTACACCGACAAACCGACATGAATGACCATAGCAAAACCAATAAAATTTCTGATCAAAGCACACTACTGACATCTGGCTCCGTGTTCGCGGGAATTATTTAGCTAAGCGATGAAGCCGCATGCAAAAGTTATGAATTAGTTCGTGTCTGATCTATTCTGAACAAATTATTTTTCTAGATCAAAATATCTTATGGTTTTGACAGTTCGGATCACTGCACATTTCAAGAGCCACATGTGAAAAGGGCATACAAGCTTTTTGTAAACAAACCTTTGTAGGCCCTCTTCTTGCCAACCGAGGGTCGCCCACGCAAACTAATAACATCATCGGGAAGGGAAAAGCTTCCCCTATCCGGTGATGTTGATGGTTTGCGTTGGTGTCATATGCGTGGCGAGAGAAGGGCATAAGAAGGTTTGTTTACAAAAAGCTTGTATGCCCTTTTCACATGTTGTTCTTGATTTAAATCGGCCGTTTACGATTTTCGGGCATCATTCAAAATTAAGTGTCATGTCGCTTTGTCGGTGATATGTATGTCTTTACTGAAGTTTGAAAAAGGTCATTAATGTTCTGAGATCTTGGTAAAATTGAGGTAATAAAAAAAATGGAACTTGGAAGAGTTTGAGAACCTACAGATAAATCAATCTATACAAATTCAATGTAACATATTCAAGAGAGGGCGGGGTCTCCTACTACTACTGCCACGTTTTCAACTACCCCGTGTGGTTGAGATGTGCTCGTTCGATAAGCAACCATCATATACATTGCATTGTGCGCCCTTGACGACGATCTCGTTTTGGCGCCATTCAATCTTGCCATCACGCTGTGCAACATTATCCATGGCGTTAGAATCCTGCTGTTCGCTTGAAGAGTATAATCTTCTGAAGGTGGATGCGTGCTGAATAAATAAAGACCAGAAGCTGACTGAACACATCTTTTACATTTACGGTTTTTGCAAAATCCTTGTTTTTAATTCGGCATTGGTGTCGTTAGCTTTTTGCTATGCCATTGATTGTTGCATTCAGGGGCCTGACACGCCGCCTTCTTTTCGTAGCCAGCATAGGTGGCATTCATAAGATTTGGTAACTATACCTATACTAGGTGGAGCAGAATCTGTGCATGAAGTGATTGGAATTGCATCATCATTATTTCCATTATTTGTAACCATTCTTACATGCATGGGAACTAGCATGTGATGTCAACAATCAATAAAACTCACAATACACATATAGCTGTTTATTTGCTCAAACAAAGATAAGTAATTGCATCATACGAATTCATATCACATCGAAATATTTACATCCAAACAAACTGACTTCCTATTTATCAAAATGTGGCTCGTTCCAATGCGGTCAGCTGTTGAATTAGTCTGTCCTCTTTGGCCTTCCGCATCGTGTAGCTTTTCCTGGATTCGATAAAATTATTCAAAAAAGAACCTACATCGCTGTCTCCCGCGAGAAATTTGTGAGCTTCCTCATCGCTGCGGGTATCAGCTGCCGAGACGGCAATTTGCAAGAGCTCTTTTATGTGTTGCGGTGAAAAGTCCTCCGATTTTTTCTGATATTTTTGGTTGGAAGCATCGTACCTATCTCCAAGCTCCTTGAATTCAAGGTACATATCCTCCAGTTTTGATTTCTCTTCCTCTATCAGCTTCTTCTTGGCAAGATTATCCGTTGCAATTGCTTCAATTTGGCTCATTAGCTGATCCATTTCGTTGCTTTGGTTCTGGACAAAGCCCAACTTTTCGATAAAAATCTCCAGATAATCTTCATCGCAATTCAATCGGCTCAAATCTTCAAGACTGAGTGCTTGTAGTCCGAATACATCTTGTTCAACAGTAACGGGTGAAGCAATAATACGACGATCCGGTGCTTTGGGCTCTTGGCTGTTGCCATTGTGGCTTTGTTGTGGCGTGCTGGAAGTTTCATTGAGCAACAAAGGAGGATGCTTTTCGAATTCACGGCTGATGGCTTGCACCACTCGGCCTAGATCGGAATGGATGGTGTACTAAAAGTGCATGATTTAGTATCTACATGATCAATCTGTTGAAATTCAACTCACATTCAAAATTCCGGGGGCATTTTCAATTTCCCCCGTGCTGGAGTTCACCCACGGATGATTGAGTATTGGGCTCACTATCAACTTGGGCTTTTCGTTGGGAAAGTTGGCTCCAAGAATTATATTGATCGCTATCTCCCGTCCACCGGAGTCGAAATTTACAAGATACTCTTCGTTTTCCTTGACTTCTTGGACACTGCAATGTTTTCGGGAGGTTTATTAAACTTAATTACTGGCTGGCTGTTTACTAGAATACTTACTTCAAATTAAATATTTTAAGAGTGTCGATTTGCCTTTTCCGCATTATTTAATAAAAAAATTGATGGAACTGAAATCAGCAGCGACTAAATTTATTATTAAATTAAATCAGAAAACCTACATCTGCACCGAACATCGAACAGAGAATACGAGAGAGACGAAAATGCCTAACCAAAACAAAAACAACTTGTGAAACATATCTAACGTCAAAATGTGGGGGAGCGTTCGCAACTTTCATTGGGTTACAAAATTTGGCATAAAGAGTTTTTGAATGATATCAATTCAGTGCTAACATTTGAAAACGGCGCAAAAGCCATTTGTAAACAAATGGTTTGTGGGCCCTTTACTCGCTACCCGAAGAACACCCACGCAAACCAACAGCATCGTCAGGAAGGGGAAAAAATTTCCCCTACCCGATGTTGCTGTTGTGTCGCGTGGGTGTACTTCGAGTAGTGAGTAAAGGGCCCACAAACCATTTGTTTACAAATGGCTTTTGTGCCGTTTTCAAATGTTAGCACTGAATTATTATTCAAAAGTTCTTATTCCCGGATGGTTTTTTTTGCCCGTATTACTTAAAATTATCGGTAAACAATGATCGGTATTTTAACCGATAAAAATCGTTAAGTTTTATCTTAAATAGGCTATTTTTTATTATTAATTAGGACATTTTTAACGTTAATTATGATTACCGATAATTTAGGTATCTGCACTTTCTTCGATTATTGGTAATTTTTACCGATATCTAGGTATTCTTTACCGACTTTTAAGTATGTGCATCTTAGCGTGTATATATTTGAGATTTGGCAGTAATAATTCTGACCGGATATGTTAACCTTATCAGCAATCAAACGGTGATAAAATATCTGGAAAAAATAATACAGATTAAAAAGCCATCCAAAAATAACGATTCCTCACTGTAAGAACTCCCGCATAACATCTATAAACTTGTGTACACAAAACTTGTAAGGCTCTTCTCGCTCATGCAAACCAAGACAACTATCGGAAAGAGAAGAATTTCCATTACCTGATGGCGTTGATGGTTTGAGTGCACTCAATAATAAATGATATCAAAAAAGCTTAAACAGTATCCAAATTCCCACATCACCTTATTGAGTTCGAGCCAATAATACTTCAGCAGTAGTCATGCATGATTAAATTCGAAATAATCACTTGTGATAAAAATTTATGTGGTCAGTATTAAATTTAATTATTTTAGAATATTAATATAGGGGAAATGTATGTAATGTCGGCCTTAGTGTCCCTAATTTGGGCCCATACATAAATTCAGCAATCGACTAAATTTTCAATAGCAACCAAAAATATCCATTAGTACCGTCCCAATGACGCGTTCATCTAGATACAATTGATAAATAGCAGATTTTTAGCGATGGGCCCAATCTTAGATCCATAGGCCAACATTAGAGCCATTTCCCCTATAATCAAAAATCATTAACAATACATTTTAATGTACTCGAAATTCAACAGTGGAAATAATTGTTATTTCGTTGTTTTAATTATATTTTTTTTTCGGGGGTTCTTCGGTAAACTACCCATAATCGCATATCAGTCGCATCTTTGCTTGATTTCCTATCCATATGGGACTGATATTCGATTATGGGCAGTAAAGGGCTTTTCTAGTTTTGTATGCAAACGTTTTTAGGCCCTTTTCAAATGTTACGAGAGAATTTTGCTATAATTGGAGATTGGAGTACGTTCTCATTACCCGGTACTGAAAATCACTGAAAATTTAATGTTTTCTGACGTTTGAACGTCAACGAGAAAATACATAAAACATGAAGAGAAAAACCAAAACAAACCGCGCGAATGATATTATCGGTTAATTTGTGCATCGTCGTCAAATGTGCAGTTGTGTGCAGTGCTGATAAACAATGTAAATTAAAGTAGAATGATTTGATAATGTTATTCAATCAAAACAGTGCATTTTATATAATTGCTTTGCTGAGTGCATTACATTTGGTTAATAGACAATTTTTGCTGTTTTGTGCGTAGAAAACGGAACAAACCGCTTGATGCTTTCTGTGCTTCGTTCTTTGCAGCCACCCATCAAAAGTTTCGTCAAAGCCAGTAGTGGAAGTGCCAGCAGGATGTTCTCGCCGAGCCCAGGAAAACCAAAAACCTATCCAACTACGTTGGAAGGATTTGGCTATGGCTTCAATGAAGGTCGTTTGGGTTGTGCATTTGAGTGTGAGTACAAAGTGAATAATGTTTGGTTTTATTTTTAGAGGGAAAGCTGAGGCAGATGGACAAGGAAACGGGGAAGTTGACCGATAAAGGTTTCGATTTTAACATCTACACTTCGGCACAGGAAAATCAGGTCCACTACGAAGCACTGGGCGAGACGATTACAGATGCCATTTATGAAAAGTTGGAAAAGGACGTTGGACTGAAGAAGCTGTTCTTGCCGGATGATGTGCCACAAGAGGAGGCAACGTTTATTTTCAGCACCACGCAAAAGTTGAACAAACCGAAAAAGCTGCTGGTTTTGATTCATGGTAGTGGAGTTGTTCGGGCCGGGCAGTGGGCCAGAAGGTGAGTGATGGATGTGCATTTCTCGTCAAACTATCTTATACAGTAATGACCCGATTTTGCCAGCTCTCTTTGAAAAATCTTTTCTCATGCTATTCGAAACCCATGCGCTTTTTTAGTGATCTTATTATACCTTAGATTTTGGTATTACAGTTATGTGGAATTATTGAAAGATAAAAGTCTGATACACGGAGGCGCTGGCAAAATCGGGTCATTACTGTATGACGCCATTGACTATTAGCGAATTCGTTTATTATTCAGTTCCAACCTGGATCGGGTATCAAGATTGGGTCTGTTTGTTTTCTGACAAACGTCAGTTTGATCGTTTGTTTTTAAAACCCAGCTCAGGTTGAGGTTCGCACTGACAAAAAGTTCGGTTTCGCACTGGGTTGGAACTGGTTCCAACCCCGATAATAAACGAATTCACTATATGATTGTCATTGATGTACCGTAAAGAGCCATAATTCTGCGCAGTTTTGAAAAAAAAAAAAATCAAAAATAGTAATGGTTGGTTTGTTGCTCCAAAAAATGCGAAAATCAAGAGCCACATATGAAAAGGGTATACAAGCTTTTTGTAAACAAACCTTTGTAGGTTATTTCCACGCCAACCGAGGATCGCTCACGCAAACCAATAACATCATCGAGAAGGGAAAAGTTTCCTCTACCCGGTGATGTTGATAGTTTGCGTTGGTGTCATATGGGTGGCGAGAAAAGGCATAAGAAAGTTTGTTTACAAAAAGCTTGTATGCCCTTTTCACATGTTGTCCTTGAAATGTGAGATAAAAGTACACGTTCACGTCAAACTATTTTGTTGTCTTCGGAGAACTTTTTTCTCGCTTCATAAGGAATAAGTGCATCCAAGACAACACAACGATTTGACGTAAATGTGCACTTTTATCTCCGACGTCCTGCTTACGGCAAGGAATCGAACGACTGTTCTCCCTGGAAATCACAGATACATCAGGCAATAACTGACCATCGTCGAGTCTGAATGACTACTTGCCATAGTGAGCGGGTTGGAAGACCCCTTTCCACATCCGACAGCAGTTCCGGAACGACTATGACGAACGAAGGCTGCTGATGGTAGGACTGAGACGGAGAGATTGGGGGCTTCCATCAGACTTTCTACGGCGCGTTCCGTGTTCCCAGGAGTGAGAGTTACAGATCATCACAATTACTACCACAGTCCGAATAGCTGAAATTTAATCTGTATCAGGCAGTGAATGGTCAATATATTGATTATACTTGCCTGTAGAAGCAAACATTAAGATTCCTGATCCATATCCAGCCCCAGGTCCAGGACGACTATGCTGAGCGCTGGCAGGAATAGGCAAGATTGGATTGGAGCTTAGAAGGGGTCTATTGTGCATCCCGGAGATAAATTAGGATTGTTCGAACAGTAAAGTGGATGTTGTAAAATAGCAGTATCAGAAGTGCCTCTCAACTGGAAACGGGCAAATGACTGTAATTAATGTAGCACACTTGCCTGAAGACGATAGTTGAGAGACCCCACCACCGGACTCGATCGCAGAGGCAGAACGACTCTGATGACAGGAAATAGAACGACTTTGATGGCGACTGGATCGAGTGGTTCGAGGTCTCCCATAATGCGACAGGCACTACGTTCTGGTTTACAGCGTCTCAATTCACAATTCACGGTATCCAATTCTGAATCAGCGTACTGGGTCTAGTCCGGAGATGGGAGTTGAGAACTCGGAAGGTCCCGGAATAGGAGAGATCGTGATGGTAGGCGTGTTCACACGAGGCATCCACATGTTATTGAACCGTCTTCAAATTCACGAAACAATATTCCTTTCGACCATACATACGATGTGAGAGCAACTTTGCGACTTTCAGCCAGAGGCTGGTTCATCTCTTATAAACTTTGCGTAGTTTGGGAGCCAATCCGACTTTGTACCAGATGAAGCTCATTCGGCTGATGTTGGATCCTTTTTTGACTAGCGGCACAACCTTAATTGGATCCTCGCACTGTACACAACCTTTGACCAGCTTCTCGATTGATTCCGATTTCACGCAAGGATGTATACTAGAAAGGTACAGTCAAAACAGTTCGGTGGGTACAGTAAGGACCTCGGTAAAGACATTGTCATCCGTTACTGCTTTAGTACCAACAAGTGGTTTGCTGGTGAGCAAGTCTTCATCGCGGTGCCGTTTTAATGGCGGTTGACGCATGCGATCGCCGGAATCAAGTGACCAAGTGTGTCGGAGTTTTCAATGCGATTCTTTTCGAGCTGAGCGATCTGCCGTCCTTGCTTAGCCATGTCCTTCCTAAGCTCAGCGTGTGGGATTTCCTGTATCTCGGTGATAGAATTAATCGCACTACCAAACGACGAAACAGCAGTTTTTAACCAAGCACATTTCATCAGCTTCGCGCATTCGTTGCACATCCGAAAGAAGTTCGGGATAATGTGGACAATATTCAGAATAGCCTTGTTCAACTTTCTGCCGCTGCACTTCAGGCGAATCATCCTGTCGCAAAACGCCGTGAGACGGATTCTTCATCGCCTTTAACTGGCTTAACGCATTGGTGACAGGCGAAAGCCATTCTGGCTCAGTTTCCAAATGTAACAGCGGTGGAGATGCTTTTAATAGGCAAGGATGAGTTGAATTCTGAAGCGCGTCTGATATCGACAATTCGACAGTGAGCATGCATAAGGGCCTAACTGCGATGATCGATTCTCTTCACCGATACAAAGCTAAGCGTTCTGGACGCTTTGTCGACGACATACGATATATGGTTTGAGTATGTCAGCTTTGAGTCTAGAAAAACGCCTAAGTCTTTCACGCAGTGCACCCGTTCGATAGTCGTGCCTAGTAGTTTGTAGTTGAAAATAATCGGTTGTTTCTTGCGTGAGAAAGTAATAACTGTACACTTAGCTGGGTTGACCACCAGTCGGTTTAGACTACACCAGTCAGCAAAGATGTCAATCTGATTTTGGAGAGAACGGCAGTCGACGAGTGAGCGGATGCGCAGAAAAACTTTCAGATCATCTGCAAACGATAATCGTGGCTCTGTGATAACATGGTGAACGTCGTCGAAGTAGAGGAGAAATACTTTGCGCAGAAGCTTGCTGAGCGACAAGCACCCAAAGTTACTGTCAATTGGCGCTCCGTGAGGTATGAACGAAACCATCTAAAAAGATTTCCATTTCGTGGTTCAGCTTATCGAAGGCTGCCGTAAGATCTGTGTAGATAACGTCCGTTTGGGTCCGAGCAATCCAACTGTCTGTGATGTAAGACGTTAGACACAGCAGGTTCGTAGAATGTGGAATGCCCAGTTATGAATCCGTGTTGATATGTACTTAGATATTGCTTGCAATGCGCATTTAGGGACTCGTATGACAACCAATTCAAAAAGTTTTGATACAGCACTCAGCGACGTGATTCCCCGGTAGTTGTTTACGTCGCGTTTGCTTCCCTTTTTATGAACAGGAAACATATCCGCAGTCTTCCAGCAAGACGCTGATGCCTCTGGAAAAAGAGAGCTGGAATATGCGGCGCAGTGGATCTAAAAGACAAGTGATGTTATTTTTAAGAATAATCGACGGAACACTATCGGGTCCAGCCTTAGTTGAAGTCTTAAGTTTAGATGCTGCTCTAGAAATCGTATCTGTAGTGGCTTCGACCATGCTGAGCGTTTGGTTGATCAAAGGAACATAACTGGCCGCGGAAGTAATGATATTAGCGGAGAGTTGCTCGTCTTCAAACACACTAGCAAATTTGGCTGAGAACAGGTTGCAAATGTCTTGTTGATTTCCAGCAGTTTCACCATTAAAAATCATGGAAGAGGGTAAGCCGACATCCCTGCGTTGCTCATTTACGAAGTTCCAGAAGGATTTCGGGTGTGATTTTAGCCGCCGTTGAATCCTCCTTTGATAGCGTTGAAAACAGAGACGACTAACCGCTTATACTCGTGGTTGAGTCTGACATAGTAGCATTTCAGCGGCAGTGTGCGGAGTTTAGTAAATCTTCTGAGAGCAGCCTTCTTAGTTCTTTTCAACGAGCGAAGATGTTTCGTCATCCACGGGACGCGAGAGTCGATATGGATGATCTTTTTGGAAACGTGTCTGTCAATGACATATGCCAAGACGTGAGAAAAGGTTTGTGCAGCAATGTTGACGTCTACAGGATCTAGAATATGCTCCCAATCTAGGTTAGACAGCACATGGACGATACTGCGATGGTCAGCTCTACGGAAGTCATATGACAGCGTTTGGAGTGCTGGTGAAATCATGGACAATATTATTTTCGATCACGATAACTAAAGCAGGGTGATGATGCACTTCCTTGACTAAAGGTTCGGATGCCGTGGAGAGGAAAGGAGCTGTATCACGAGCACTCACAAAGCAGAGATCCAGGGTGCGGTTGTTTTCATTCAACAGGCCATTGATTTGTGACAGATATCCATCTTATAAGATGTTGCCTCTTTACCCAATTCAAAGACGAGTACACGGATGGATTTGAGTTCACTCACTCGAGAAAAAGTTGCACAAGCTGCGGGCAATGTTTCCGAATCCCTGATTGGAGGATCTGCCAAATGTTTGTTAAAGATAGTATTGATTAATAGTAAAACCAACCGGTGGCTCACTACTTGACCAATAGGCTCCCAAGCAAATCGATTAACGTACCCCATTCTAGTCACAATTCTAGTACTACACAATGTTTGTTTTGATTCGCTATGAAAGTTTGACAGATAAATGAGGGGTTCGTAGATTTTCCTACGTTTCGAGGGGTGCATCAATTAGCTTGGGACCGAAGATAAAACCAGAGCTGAGTCAAAAAGCTGAGCACGTTTCTTCGGAAGCTACTAGTCTAAGAGTTACCTCTATGGTAAAACAGCCTGTCATTCGTGATCGGGATAAGGATAAAACGGTTGGAGCTGAATAATGAACATTTATTGTGGTAAATTCTATAGGGGACTAGGAATAGGGGCCTCATAGCCTAGTCAGTAAAGGCACGGTATTACCAAGCCGGAGGCGGCG